TTGCCCCATGATACACCTGTGCTTAGTGCTATTGTCCCATGATACATCTGTGCTTAGTGATATTGCCCCATGATACACCCGTGCTTAGTGATATTGCCCCATGATACACCTGTGCTTTAGTGCTATTGCCCCATGATACACCTGTGCTTAGTGCTATTGCCCCATGATACAACTGTGCTTAGTGCTATTGCCTCATGATACACCTGTGCTTAGTGTCATTGTCCCATGATACACCTGTGCTTAGTGTTATTGTCCCATGATACATCTGTGCTTAGTGCTATTGTCCCATTATACACCTGTGCTTAGTGCTATTGCCCATGATACACATGTGCTTAGTGCTATTGCCCCATGATACACCCGTGCTTAGTGATATTGCCCCATGATACAACTGTGCTTAGTGCTATTGCCCCATGATACACCTGTGCTTAGTGCTATTGCCCCATGATACACCTGTGCTTAGTGCTATTGCCTCATGATACACCTGTGCTTAGTGCTATTGCACCATGATACACCTGTGGTTAGTGCTATTGCACCATGATACACCTGTGGTTAGTGCTATTGCACCATGATACACCTGTGGTTAGTGCTATTGCACCATGATACACCTGTGCTTGGTGCTCTTATATTATGTGTTAATGTTTGTTTGAATGCGGCATTTCAGGTGTGTGCATTAAGTTTACTGATCACAATAACTGGTGCAAACTGTGTGTACAGTGTGAATAATTAAACAATTCTACAAATGACAATTTAGTTCCTAGATTAAATACATTTTATTGTTCATTTACTTTATAGTGTTTTTTTATACATACAATTAATGAATTAATATAATTTGTCCAAATGCTCATGTTAGTTGCCAGTTTTACATTTTACTGCATGTATTAGCCCTTCTATTGTTTATCTTGTAAAAGTATCATCATCATTTATGTATAGGATAAAGACAGACTTTTCTGGGATATAAAGTCTGCCCCAAAATAAAATGTCAAGGCTGAAGGCAGAGACGAGGTTTGTTAATGTGATTTTTTTTTGGAGAAAGATGCGCGGTCTACTTTTCAATCCAGCAAGAAAAAAATGTATAAATTTTTAGATAAGCTTTTGCAATAATTTCTCTCGTTAAAAAAATCGGCGTATGCGGATTTTTCAATTAAAATATAAGCCCCCTAAAAATATTTGATGATCATTTTTTGAAAATTTGAACCCCAAATAAAGGCCCACCAGCCATGGAACCGCCCAGGGCGATTTTTCGAATGGGCGAATTTACAGCAAAATCCAGTATAATGTTGTTTCAAACTAAGTTGTAAAGAATAATTTTACTTTTTTTTTAAAACCAATTATTACCCAGATATATAATTTGAGTCTCAAGATATAAAGATTTCCATTTCGAAATTTCATTAAATTAAGCCACATCCTTTTATTTTTTAATTGGAAATATTTCCAAGTTTCGTAAAACTTTTGATTTTGAGCTATAAATGAAACAAACTTTGTAACATGATGGTTATCATAGTATATTTAACAAAAAGCTCTACTTTTTGATCTGAAATATATAATTGATCCATCTTGACTATTTAGTCATCATGGCAATTAATGCTACATTCTAATAAACCATGGCACATAGGTTCCTGGCTCAGCTGGTGGGAACTGAAATCAAACAAAACAGAACTATTACAAGTTTGCTCATATTCTTTAGGATGAATAAACTGCAAGTGATGTCAAATGAAGCACAATATGAACATTGAGGCATGTCTCAGATATGGATGACACACCTTTCAGTCTGAATAACTAGTATGCATTTACAGAATAAAATGAGGCTTTGTAGTGTTCATGTTGTCTTTGTGTAACTTTGTTTCAATAAGATATTACCGCAATATCTACTTCCATTTTAATCATAATTAACAGTTACTTACTTTAGAGGTGAACTGATCTTGACATGCCATTCGTATGTGTTCAGCAGTGGCAGGGCTGTCCATACAGAATATGTTGGTGATACCAGCATCGGCTCGGGCAGACATTATAGCATATTTAATACCAAAAAAGACAGATGACGCTAGAAATAGAGGTGGTTCACCAACTGCCTATACACAGATATAAAGTAACCATATTAGACTTTCACATCAAGTAATATTGATATTCTATTCTAAAATAAAAACATGTCCACTAGATTGAGTTTTCATTCACAACTATTCTGCATATTGTTTGTGACATGAGATTCGATTTGCACATGTTCATTTAGACATTGTAGGTCTGTGTTTGGAGCAAGCCAACAGTCTTACATTTAATGAGGTGTGTGACTGCTCATAATCTGAACAGTGATTTGCAGTGGAAGCAACTTTGATTCTGAGTGTGTTGAATGTTTGTAGGTTCATAATTGTGCATGTATTCCATCATAAGAGGTTTTTGTCTCTACATTATTGACAGAACTGTTCACAAAGAGCAATCACAAATGAGTGGTAGGTTGTTCTGATCATGAAAAAAGATGATAATTCTTTCATATGATTGGTCTAGAAATATAGGTGTGTTGAATGTTTGTATGTTCATAATTGTGCATGTATTCCATTATAAGAGGTTTGTGTCTCTAGATGATTGACAGAATTGTTCCCAAGGGCAATAATAACTGAGTGATAGGTTGTTCTGACCATAAAATATTTTATATATTAGCTACCAATAGGTGTGAAAAAAAGGTATTTTTTTGTAAGCTCTAAAAGTTTGAATGTGATTGGTCCAGAGATATAGGTGCAGCTAGATGGACCAATGGATGCACAGGTGAACCTATAAGTCCCTGGCTTCATAATTATTTTCATAAACAGTTTAATTTTGGTCATTATAACCAGATGAAAGAGAATGGGTTGGTCACATTTTCATCTCTATGGCAACTCTCAGGTGATGCAGCATGTGCAGAGAACACACAACTGTCATCCATTGTTCAGAAAATTGTCATATTCAAATTAGAAACATGCTATATCAGCGAATCAAAGCTACTGGCTGCAGAGACAACATTTCCACACAATTGCAGAGGGGACCAATAGACCCAAAAAGCAATAGAAAGGTAACCAGTCTTAACTGTTTTCTGACTCTGCCGGAACACTAAAAATATGTATTTATGTAATGCTATCCACAACAAAATGTTATTAGTAATTCCAACCCAGGGGAATTGACAACATGCCTGCATTGTGTTTTGGTAAACTTCAGTTGCTTTTATTGTGTAACATGGTGAGAAAATGCTTAATTGACTGTTCTCCAAAACACTGAACTTCCATGTAAACAAGCATAACCAGGTTTATGTGTGACTATGCGGGTAATTTTACCTTAGATGAATAGATGGCATGCTTATTAGGACAGTTGGCAAGTAAAGAGACATTGAAGACAGTTGGTACATCCCCAAATGACGGTATTTTATACATTCCAGGACCACGAGTTAACAAGGTACCATTAGGAGACCAACGCAAATCTTCTATTGTGAATAAGCCATATCCTTGCATGAAAGCTCCTTCAATCTGAATAGTAACAAGATATGAATGTCACAGTCCCCGTTATTTGATTATAAATTAGTACAAGAAACATCTGCAAACATGTGGGTACAACTCATCATCAAGTGATTTCCCATAATCTAGTTTTGTACTGACAACTAAAAACTTCCACTGACCCATATTCAGAATCTACTAAGTGCAACAAAACTATTTGTCATACATGTATACTTGCTCAAGAAAATGCATTCATAAACCTGAGTGAACCTTGATGTACATGATTTCTTTGTTAATTAAGGTATTAGTATATTACCAGGACCTGGGTCAAATAACTGCATTGTTTTAATTTGCATATTTTTGGGAGGGTGTGGTCATTATTGCCAAAAGCACATCTACTCGTGTCAAGGTGTAATCCTACCAAGTATGAATAAAATTGGCCCAATGGTTCCTGATATAAGAGCAAAAAACTTCATTGATCTAATTTGCATATTTTTGGGAGGGGTGGTCATTATTGCCAAAAGCACATCTACTCGTGCCAAGGTGTAATCATACCAAATATGAATAAAATAAACACAGTGATGGTAGGAGGGCGTGGCCATTACTGTCAGAAGCACATCTACACGTGTCAAGGTGCAATCCTACCAAATATAAACAATATCGGCTCAATGGTTGCTGAGATCAAAGGAAATAGCTAATTTGCATATTTTGGGGATAGGGTGTGGTCATATTAATAATAACCTAAAAGATGACTTCCGATGATAAGGAAGCTATTTTGAAATTGGGTTCTGAGAAATTGATTCTGAGGTTCTGATCGAATACATTTGGTAAAACTTGTGAATCAGAAATCATGAATCTGAATTTAACAGAATCAATTATTCTGAGCATGCTCAGTTGCTCTGTCAGTGTAGTAGAGAGAGGTAATTTTGGATGAAAATCTTGAAAAAGACCCACTTAGGATTTTCAGATCTGGAAAAAAAATTACGTGCATATGTAAACACAGACTTGTTCATCAACCTGCCAAGTTTCATTGACATCTGCCGCAGAGACTGAAAAAATGTGAGAGATAACTTGCAGCAACTTGAAAATGAGAAAGAAAGTAAAACTAGTACTCCTCTTTCAGGCTTTGTCTGAACGGGGACTAACAAGCCATGCATGGCACAGTTCCCATTAGTTATCAAACTTAAGGTACATGTTTTTGTTTACAGTAATATAGTTGAAACATAAACATGTCAGAGATATGGATCCAGAAGCTATTTTTTTTCATGCTTGATTGTGATGATTTTTTAACGTAAAAATGATTGACATCTGGTATCTGATAGTCAAACGAGTACTTGTCCATATTAAGAGATATTGTTCTGGAAGAGCATTAATTAAAAAAAATGGCCACAGTCAGCCATTTTGAATACATCTGTATTTCTATAACATATGATGTATAATGAATATATAAAATTTGAACATAATCAGTCAAAGCATATCAGAGATATGGCACTAGCACTGCATTCATTAAAACAAAATGGCCACCAGTCGGCCATTTTAAGTCTGATCTGAAAAATAAAATGACATGCATCAAGGTCCCATAATGTCCACTGTATGTACCAAGTTTGAAAAAAATCCATCCAGAAATATACTTGATTGTGATGATTTTTCAGCACAAAAATAGCTGCCATTCGACCATCTTGAATTAGATCGCACGGACACACAGACAGAGGTCAATCCATAAGTCCCCGTTTTTGGACTATGTCCGACTGGGAACTAATAAATCAAATGAAAGAAATCACTGGCACAGCACAATGAAAGAAATCACTGTGAGTGCTGTTTACCCTTCTGGAGTGTATGAGGGCGCTGTTCACCCTTCTGGTGTGTATGAGGGCGCTGTTCACCCTTCTGGTGTGTATGAGGACGCTGTTCACCCTTGAGTCACATATATATTTTTTTTAAATATACATATTTCTACCTTTGTGATGCATTGTAAATTCTTTAATTTTATCATTAATTTCTATAGATGACATGTAATGTATTATTTCAATGTATTTTGTAATTTTGAGAAAACTTCTTGTGCTGTGGTCTTGTGATATGACAGACACCATTTTGTAAACACTTCTTTTTGCTGTGCTGTCTGCAATTTGATTAGATTTATCATTTTTGTTAGCCGATGAAAGCTAGAAAACCATTTGATGTTTTTCTGGTAGGTTTATTTTTTGTAACTGAGGTTACTTTAGTTGTTATTTAAAATATTTCAAAAGTTTTTATATTTTGTGTTGAACTTTATGCATACATGTATCATCTATGCACAAATTGACATTTCTGAATTGTATTTCTATTTAACATTAAGTGTTGCATCTTCTTTTGATATCATTGCTAGTGTTCTTGATATATTCCACGCCCATTGTTTATGTGTTTATTGTCAGTCAAACACATTTTTTTTGATAATTTACTTAAATGTGTGCAATTGCATGTATTTGACAATTATTGACCTCAAGATGTGTGAATGGATGGCGACCTGAGGCTGAGGAGAGCATTGTATTTCACTCAATTTAGAGTTGTTCCAGTCAGGGTGAGCTATTTTGTATATTTCTATATAATGTATTTCTGAGATTTATTGCTGTTATATTTCTTAGATGAATATACTTTTATATATATTGTATCATGTTTGCCAGCAACATGAACTTTCTGTTTTTATACATCTCCCTGATGTCAAAATGTACATGTAGTCTCCATCAGTAGAAGCTAGACAGCCTATTGTATTTATTGCAATAACTACTGTAATTGTATAATTATTGACACTTCATATGTACTTATTATTGTGTTTACATATTTTGTTTACACAGGTTTTATTTTATCTTTGATATCTTACTGTAGTGTGAACTTGGAATAAAAGAATGCAGTGAATGACATACATACACACATGTCTGTGTGTGTGTCTATCTGTACTTTACAAATTAAAGAAATCACTGGCACAGCACAATGAAAGAAATCATTGCGATATGATCACTTCCACAGCACAATAAAATAAATCACTGCGATATGATCACTGTAACAGCACAATGAAAGAAATCACTGCGATGTGGTCACTGGCACAGCACAATCTCCATATGTTTGAGATGGGTAACTTTGTAAAAATTAAAAACTTACTTACTGGTGTCATTTAACAAATTGACACTTGATCTGACTTATGAACCCTATCTTATTTGAACCATGTCAAAGACTAGACTCAGAAATAATTCTATGGATATCAACTTACTTGACCAATGTCAATTGCTGGGTTTAGACTTTGCCCAAGATCCATAACAATATCAGTACGAATTACATGGTGGTCTCCAGTTAAACAATCTATCTCTACTTCAGAGCAACCTACACCAACTGTGAAGTATGAAAATGGATGACCAGTATTGGTGTTCATATCATGACCAATATCGGGAACCCTACAGTAAAATAGACACAAAGTAATAAGGAGAACTTCTAATTACCTGTGGTACAAATTAGAATTGGTCGCAATTAAAAAAATTAATTACTAGATATACTCAGAAGATACAGTCAAGCAAGTAGGTGAAAATATGATGAACTCAATTTGCCTCCATCCCTACAGATATAACTGCTTTAATAAAGCAATGAAGTATTTATGCACATACTTGTAGAAACCTGTGGCAGACAGACTCACTCGGTCTAAATATGCAGCAGTTACCTGTGAACAAAATAAGAAATGGGATTAATAGTTGAACTAATTCAGCCAATCATATCTTGTACAATGATGATTAATGACGGTTTCTTACCCAATCTTCCCATGATCCTTTGGGGTTACTAAGAACAAATGAGTTCAATCTTTGTAAAATCTTATCACATGCAATCTGAAAACAAAAAATGAAAATCATGTTAAATATCACATGGGTAATTAGAATTTAATTTATAATTATTCATTAGTTGGAAGAGAACATAAATGTTTCATTTATATATTGTATCCATGCATCTGTATATTTAACAGCTCATCATGTGTAATATTATCATGATTGCTATAAATACACACTGTATTAGTTGAAGATTTCTTTAGATCTAAGAATCAAACATGGTTAGAAAATCTACATTTGGGTTGCTACTTTGTAAATTAAAATTGAAAATATAAAAAAATTATCAATGCTAGACATACCTTCACTGCTTGTCCATTAAGATCTGATCCTGAGCTGGCAGCTGTAGGAGAAGTGTTCGGTACGGTATTTGTACTAGTTTCACTGATAAATATTTTATTGACTGGGATGTTCAATGCTCTGCTGGCAACTTGTATCATTTTTGTATGCAGCCCTTGTCCCATTTCAGTTCCTCCATGTGCTATTAATACTGAACCGTCAGTATAAACTTGAACCAATGCACCAGTCTAATAAAAAAAAAATGTTTTTACTTTAAAAAAAACGACTACATTAATTTGTTCACAGTAGGTATCAGTTACTATTGATAACTCAAGAACACAAATAACATTTCACCATAAGCTGCTACTAAAAGTGAACCTCATCATTCTTAACATTTCGTCACATGCAAGTTTGTGTTATTTAATTTAAAGGGGCACAGAACTTTGTATTTTAGGTTTATTTCACGATCCTAATGTGATTTTAATTAAGTCTGAATACAAATTTGACCTTTCCTACCAGCCTATTGTTTTTCATAACAATTTAAAAAGACACAGAAATCAGATGACATTTGCCTCGTTTCCTATGGAGAGCCACTGCTGGGGGTCCATTATTTCAGTGACGTTGTTTATAAACAACCCTGATTGGTCAATGCTATATAATCTATGTTTTCACTGTATTGCTTCCCAAACTTGTAGTGTTATCGATGAACTATGGCAGATTCAAGCAACTATTATTATGACAGCTCTTATGAAACTGAACTTAATGTGGATAGTGTCTCTACTGTCAAACCCTATCAGTTTGATAGATATTTTTTTTATATACAATGTACTTGTTTAGTGTGAGTATTTAACATAAGGACTGAAATAGACTTTTCAGAAACATACATGTAGTTACTGGCAATATATCAATGATGTTATTGAGGAATGAAATAAATATCTGTTCTAAGGTTGCAACATTGTCTAACAGCTATGAACAATCTAGTATGTGTATTTGGAGGTTCAACAGATTATTGTCACTAAAATGATAACATGAATCTTAGATAAGCGGAATGAATTTAAAGTTTTATCAAGTTTAATTCCAGCCCGGTTTACTTTTTTGAATTAGTAATTAATGTGATCAGCTTGTGCAACTGAATTAGAATTATAAATGCAGTATATTATTTAAATTATTTTTAACTGAGACACTAGAGAATAACAGGGAGACAACTACTGTGAATTTTTGAATGTCTGGCATGCACAACCATGTTCAAACACACATACACAATTGCGTTTCATGATGAATAAATTACAAAACAAAAACGTGTCTACATAACGCAGGTAGGACATAGTCTAGTAGATGCATAACATTTTTGAAAATAGGTTATCCTCGGGGGCGGAGCTACGTCACAGACGTTCTACGTTGCTAAGACGCGCACCACTGTACCACGTATTTCTATGGGTTAGTGAACAACAGTTGTTTCATGATGAATAAATTACAAAACAAAAACGTGTCTACACAACACATTAACAGTAGGTCTAGTAGATGCATCACATTTTTGAAAATAGGTTATACATAAAATGGCTTAAGTAAATAGTTGACAGGACAATTTATGTGTGCCTCAATGCAAGTAAATGATAATACAATATCTTTATTTGTTAATTTTCAAACAGAAACAAAACTACACAACAGTACATAAACAGTGGTGCCTAAACTAGTCTATTTTTAACCTAATTGATACAACATATTTCTCAAGTGGGTTGATATGGAGGTTTTTGATTTATTGTGCACATCTAAACACTTATATAATATACTAGCTGGCAGGGGTTCTACCAAACAGGGGAACAGTGGCGCAGCACCCTCATATCCCAGGCTTGCACTCTCTTACAGATCCTGGAACGGTCAGTAGATTATGATCAGTTATAACAAATATAGAGTGTTACCAATGGTAACAAAGGTGTGCTCCCTCTTAAAAATGTTTTCTAGAAAAATCTGAAGCAGAAGTACAACTCAAAAGAAAATAATAAAACAATACCTGATTCAAAGTTTTAAATGTAAAAGAAATACCATACTTTGTTGGTATAATAGATATTCCACGCTTCTTCCATCGATTTTCACTATCAAACAAAAACATATTGAAAACTTTCCTTGTGAATAAATGATTTTTTTTCTTTATGCCGTTTCATTATTTGATCCAGCAAAAAAGGTTACAAATGTTACAATATCTATAACATTTTAATGTACACCTGATAATACATGTACAGTATATTTCAATCAAGTTTAACAATTGCATTATATATATATAAAGGTACATGTATTTTATATAAAAATTCTGGTGAAATGTTTTAAATATCAAATTTTACACAAAGACCTACTTTCCAGATTTAACTTTCCATCACAAATTATTAAAAACATTGACAAAATTATATACCAGATGCAAACTAATGGCAACGAAAACATGTAAAGTTATTTTCTTTAATATTCATTTCATATTTATGTGATTATTATTTCAGAAAATATTATTGCTAATATTACTGATAGAAACTTGCATTTCTAAAGATGAATAAACTATAATACTACATATGCACAGCAGTTCATTTTGATTCGTCCCTGAAATCGAAATCAGTATTTCCACACCCATATGCAAATGAGGTCTGAAAGCAAACAAAGTCCACCCTTCAGGCGTACAGTTTTTCGAAACATAGCTGAAATAAACAATATTTAGAAGTATGATATTTTTCTATTAGTGTACATGAATATACTTGCCGAGTGAAATGAATTTTGAAGAACAGTAATGGTACTTTTACAGTGTTCTCACCAGATTCTGTTTTTTGGGGGCCATAAAGGCCCATCATTTGTAAAAAGCAGGGCCATAAATTATAAAATAGGGCCGGGAGTAAATTGATTGAGAGAACAGTCCACCTACATTTCAAAGGATGAAAATTTCCATGGTGTAACCATTAATGGGTAAATAAAATTGGGTCAAGGTAAAATTGCAGCCGTTATTGAGTTAACATTTATAAATAATCATAAAATCATCACACACATTAGTTTAACATATGTTTATTCCATTACTATTAGTTTTGAAATTACTACTTCCCCGTGTCATAGCATTATTATTTTTTGAAAATACACACCATCTACAGTACAAATCTTCATCATCCCTGTATTTCAGCCATGGATGAGTTGTTAATCGTCAATGTTCCTTGGCTTTTATTAGTGACACTCTCCACAGTCACAGCTACGCTACCAGACTCAAAACCATCGGCATTGCGTGTCTGCTGGAACAGTAGCATTTTCTAAAGGTACTGATTCTATCGCCAGGGTTTTCAGCCCATGGCTGATACTTTGAGCATCATGTACCGAATCAGGGTTCGGACAAATTCCAAAATTCAATAAAGTTCTCTGGCGCTTCGGCTTGCTCATAGCTTGAAATGGGTTGCGTATATTGCCAGACATTGCTCAATTGTGAGACCCCTCTAGGGAATAAATTACTATGTTGATAACACAACCATGCGATGGGAGAGTCGTTTGGATGCATTTTTTGTTTTTCTGCGCCAAATGTGGCCCGATTTAATTGAAATTTTGCGCAAATGGCGCAGCCTGGTGAGAACACTGCTTTTCGGCAGTCACTCATTTTGACTAAAACTAATTTGCATATCACCCATACAATATTTTCATGGTCGATATGCAAATGAACATAGTATTTCCATTGGTAACAGAACTATTTTTATTTTGTGAACAAATTTTCGTCTGCTATTTTTTTTCGGTTCAAATCGTTCAGCAACATTTTTGGCATGTTAGGTGTACATCAGATGGAATACTATGATTGGGAAAACTTAATGTATGTTGACCACCTGGAAACTGAGTTTTATAAACCTTGAAAGGCTCTCGGAAGATCCACCCACAGTAAAATCAGCAATTACTATGGAGCCGCAACCATCAACATCAAGATACCAAGAGGTTTCTGCTGGTGACGTTGCAGCGTTACTCAGTTCCAAATAAAGATTACCAATGCCAAAAGAGCAACATTTTAACCGGTAACCAAGACAGTCAATCCAAGACTAGCAAGCAACATCACAAACAAAGTTGTAGCGTGCAGCTCAGCAACGACCGCTGCCGACGCTGCCAGTGAAGTACCACAGTTGCACGGCATGTTTGCCAATGCACAATTCTGTGGAGAAACTTTTAACTTCAACACAAGTCATTGAAAATGACACAGTCCCCGTTAAATTTTTGAAAGTTCTCTTTGTGCTCGTCATATTAAAGCGGAGGGGTTGTCGCGAGCGTGTCCTTGAAACTTGAGTTCCAAGTGGCGTATACAACAGATTGTTTATTTACATCAAAACACGAGTTTCTTGTAGTAGTAATATGGCCAAAAATAAAAACAGCCATTATTCGGCCATCTTTGATCTGATTATGAAACACACTGATATGTATGATGTATGTGTACTAGTACATAAATTGTGGAAATATAGCAGTAAGGCCAAAAAGTCAGATGGCTGTCAATCGACCATCCTTGATCAGATTTTGAAACAAATTGTCATGGACATGCATCCTAACATGTATAAAGTACATGTATGTGCCAAATTTGAATGAAAACTGACAGAGCACGTTCAAGATACCGCATGAAAAAAAAAACACAAGATGCCTGCCAGTCATGGACATGTATTCTAACATGTATAATCTATGTACCAAGTTTGAATGACAACTGACAAAGCATGTCCAAAATACAACATTTTCAAAAAAACAAGATGGCTGCCAGTCGGCCAATTTGAATCGAATCGCTAAACCACTGCATGTGCATATGTCCCACATAAGGTACTAGGCACATGCAAAGAATGAATGGAATCGGTCCACAGGATTCTGAAATACGATTCTGAACAGACTGACGCACAGACGGACGGACACACGAACGGACGGACAGACTCAGGAACTCACGGATGGTCGGGGACAAGTATCCTAACATGTATGATCTATGTACTAAATTTGAATAAAAACTGACAAAGCATGTCCAAAATACAACGTTTTCAAAAAACAAGATGGTTGCCAGTCGGCCATCTTTGATCCAATTGTGAAATAAATCGTCATGAACATGTATCCTAACATGTATAATCTATGTACCAAGTTTGAATGAAAACTGACAAAGCATGTTCAAAATACAACATTTTCAAAAAACAAGATGGCTGCCAGTCAGCCATTTTGAATCGAATCGCTAAACCACTGCATGTGCATATGTCCCACATAAAGTACTAGGCACATGCAAAGAATGAACGGAATCGGTTCAAGGGATTCTGAGATATGACTCCAGATAGACGCACGGATGGAGACCGAATTATAAGTCCCCGTTTTCGGACTTCGTCCGAACAGGGACTAATAAACTGTGTATCAAACTGTGTGTCATCCAGTTCAAGTTCTGGTTCTGTCGTGGTCCCATCTAAATGTCCACGAGTTATTTATTCGGACAGTGACTCAGATTAGACGTCTGATTATTTTATTTTCAAACAAACAGTGACAGGTGTTCTACGCTGACACGCGTTGCTAGGGAATAACACTATCTAGAAATATATTAATGGGCAATGGGGTTCGCCGACCTAAATTCCAAATATGGAACATGTAATAATAACAGAACCCTACACCCTTCCTGTGGCTTTCGTTGCGTATGGAAGTTATTTTCACGAGTGATGCAGTGTATCCAGCTCGTAAAAGTACAACTGAATATATCGCGCATCTCAAGTTCTGTCATAATATTATTATTCTTAGAAAAGAGGAACTGTGATGCAGTACAATAACAACTGATCATATTAAATCATTGTACCTATTGTACATGTCCACTTGTCGTTTGCGTCTTTGATAATCACTTTTCTGAAGACATTCCTTCCAACACCGGTCTAGAGAATTATTGGTTATAAAAGTCTGATTATAATGGGTTAAGTCTCCCTCCTTGTACATATTTATCTCTCGTATCTGAAAGGAAACAATGTCTGTGTTACCTCATAAGACAAAATTCATAAAACGGTCATCAAATAAATCAACGAACATGCACACCACCATATAGTATTTCTCCATTTGTAATTTTATATTATCTAAGGGTTTTCTATTATGAACAGGGATGTTTGGTGAATTCCCTTGTTGTTACCACTACCTCCTTCATCAAAGTTCTTGAAGTATGGCCACACAAATCCAACAAATTGACCAATTATTACACAAATTAGGTAAGTGTTTGGTTATAGTCTTATAACTCAAGTTGCAGAACAGTTTAAGTGAAAATGGTTACTTGGACAAATTAGACTGTAATTACCCTATGTTGTGAAATATTACATTTGTAGGCAATGTCAGTAATTATGTGTTCCATAACAAACATTCCTTGAGGACCGCCAAATCCACGGAAAGCAGTGTTAGATGCAATGTTTGTTTTACATGGGTAACCTGTTGTTCTGATATTTGGTATCATATAACAACCATCAACAGAATACAAGGCACGATCCATTACCTGTAAAAAAAAAAAAAAAATCTTGGATTACTTTATTGTTTTTGCAGTGTCCATGCTTATGTGTATAAATACTAGTAAATTTATACCTACCAATAAGTCTATACCAAAATTTACCAGTAAGTCGGTAAAGTCTATACATACCACATATACATGTAACTATATTAACCAGATAGTTTTTAGATTACTGGTAGCCATAGACTATCAGAAAGTCTCTTACTAATGAGGACAAATGTAATGAAATTGAGCAAAGGAATATAAATTAGTGTCTGCATGGTAATTGCACGCATGGAAGTGAGCATCTCATTTTGTATCTATGTAGCAATTATGTGTATGCTTTGTAAGGACTCAAGTATAGTTATGCGTATGCATAATCGACACTAGAACTAATTACTCATTAAAAGATATGTAATATTATTTGTATAAACTTACAGAAGCCGACAAGTCCAATGAACATCCAGCATTGCTATAAAGATCAATTTCTATAGATTGAATTTTACCATTGTTGTTAAAACCAACTTTATATCTTGCTAAAAAGGGATGTCTAAAACCACTCATGCACATATCTTCATCCCGGTCCATCATAAAGCGCACTGGTTTCCCAACCCTAACAAAACAAAATACATGTTTTGAATACAATTTCTTTCATGAGCTGCCACAATTGCCATTCAAACCAATCACAAGTATGTTACTGCTGATAGTACCAAATTACTGGTTTGTCAATAACATACATGTTTTGTTGAGTTCCAATACATATTAATATAAAATATATATTTATAATAATTTTTATAAATGGTATGTATGTCTGTATTACATGTTTTGTTGAGTTCCAATAAATATTAATATAAAAAATATATTTATAACTATAAATGGTATGTATGTTATGTATTACCTGTGTGCAGCTACAGCCAGACATGTTGAATACATACAACACCTTGTTTCTTTGCCACCAAATCCACCACCCAAACGTTTCACTTTAGCCACAATCCGATTTTGTGGTACACCTAAGGCTTTAGCTGCTAGTTTCTGAAGACAAATCATATAAGATAGAGTAAATATGGTATGCATATGTATGATGCAATAATTATCTGAATAATACACATGTATAATTATTACATGGAAAATCAGCCTGGTTTACTACTAAAAACTAATTATACATGTATTCAACCATCTAAGTCACAACATACAAAGCAGGGGACATATTTCCAGATGAGGCTAAGACAACAGCAACAGGTAAGACCAGAGTGACAGGGAATACCAGAGTGACAGGGAATACCAGAGTGACAGAGAATACCAGAGTGACAGGTGAGACCAGAGTGAAAGGTGAGACCAGAGAGACAGACAAGACCAGAGTGCCAGACAAGACCAGAGTAACAGACAAGACCAGAGTGTCAGACAAGACAAGAGTGCCAGACAAGACCAGAGTGCCAGACAAGACCAGAGTGCCAGACAAGACCAGAGTGCCAGACAAGACCAGAGTGCCAGACAAGACCAGAGTGCCAGACAAGACCAGAGTGCCAGACAAGACCAGAGTGCCAGACAAGACCAGAGTGCCAGACAAGACAAGACCAGAGTGTCAGGTAACATTGACAGGCAAGACAACAGTGACAGGCGAGACAACAGTGACAGGCGAGACAACAGTGACAGGCGAGACAACATTGACAGGCGAGACAACATTGACAGGTGAGACAACAGTGACAGGTGAGACAACATTGACAGGTGAGACAACATTGCCAGGTGAGACAACATTGCCAGGTGAGACAACATTGCCAGGTGAGACAACATTGACAGGTGAGACAACATTGACAGGTGAGGCAACAGTGACAGGTGAGACAACATTGACAGGTGAGACAACATTGACAGGTGAGACAACAGTGACAGGTGAGACAACATTGACAGGTGAGACAACATTGACAGGTGAGACAACAGTGACAGGTGAGACAACAGTGACAGGTGAGACAACAGTGACAGGTGAGACAGCAGTGACAGGTGAGACAACATTGACAGGTGAGACAACATTGACAGGTGAGACAACATTGACAGGTCAGACAACAATGACAGGTAATACAATAGTAACAGGCGAGACAACAGTGACAGGTGAAACAACATTGACAGGTGACACAACATTGACAGGTGAGACAACAGTGACAGGTGAGACAACAGTGACGGTGAGACAACAGTGACAGGTGAGAGAACAGTGACAGGTGAGAGGACAGTGACAATTAAGACAACAGTGACAGGTGAGACAACATTGACAGGTGAGACAACATTGACAGGTGAGACAACAGTGACAGGTGAGACAACAGTGACAGGTGAGACAACAGTGACAGGTGAGACAACAGTGACATGTGAGACAACAATAGCAGGTGAGACAGCATTGCCAGGTGAGACAACA